ACGCGGAGAAGGACGCGACCGGAAAAGACGCGGAGGCAACGGGTGCAGGGGCAACGGGTGCGGAGGCAACGGGAGAGAAGGGAGTGGGAGAGAAGGGAGCGGGTGCGGAGGCAACGGGAGAGAAGGGAGTGGGAGAGAAGGGAGCGGGAGAGAAGGAAGCGGGAGAGAAGGGAGCGGGAGAGAAGGAGGTGGGTGAACAGGAAGGAGACCCGGCGAAAGGAGAGCCGGCGGCGGTATCGGTGGCGGAGATTTCGAGCAAGGTGAAAGATCTAGTGAAGGTGCATCGACCTGTGCCTCCGGACCGCAAGACGGCGGAGGCGACGCAGCGACCGATTCCGGAGTCGGGGATGCGCGACAGCATTAAGTTGCTCAAACTGGCGCTGGAACTGGACGACGAACGCGTCCAGGGTGAGAAGGAACGCGCGCTACAACGCAAAAGCGTTGAGCATGAGGCCGAACTCAACCAGTACAAGCGGACACTCAGCGACCTCCGCGGCGAAGCCGACCAAATCCTCGGCAAAGCTTTGATCTCCGTTCCAGTTGCCGGTACGGACCCCACGGGTACGGCCCCCGCCGCGGACGCTGATCCGGACAAAAGTCCCGGAGGTTCGACGACAGACGGAGGCAGGACAGCCGGAGGTCTGATGACGGCTCCTGCTCTGGTTCAAGACGCGGCGACGCAGCCGACCGCCATCGGGGCAGCGGCTCCTAGCGGTTCCCCGGCCACTCCCCCACCGAAGGAAGACCCGCACATGGCTGCACTGGACGAGCTGAATGCCAAGCTGGCTACCTGGCTGACCCAGGGACCGACCCCGAGTCCTTCACTAGGCCCCAGTCCTGGGCCGGCCCCCGCCCCGTCGTGGAGGCAGGAGTCGGAGTCCCGACGTTCGGGCAGCACAAGCTTTGAGACGTTTACGTCTGGTCCGAGCATGGACTTGCGGCCTCGACGTTGGGGCCCACGCCCGCCGGGCGCGGGGGGCGGGTTCCCTACGACTATGGTCATTAATATCAACCCCACATTGGGAGCAGGCTCGGGATCCGTAGCCCCCCGGCCCCATTCCCGCAGAGTGCACGCCGTGACCAAGGCGCTGCCAAAAAGAGGCAAGCGCGCCGAGAACCGTCTCACAGACCGCATCGCGGATCACTTGCGGAACAGAACGCTGCCGCCCGGCGCCGTGCCGCTCGAAGGCGCAGGCCAGGTCCGGGGGCGGCCTGGAGATGCACGCTCCGGCCTGGCCAGGACCTGGCAGTTCAAAGGCTTCTATCTGAGACGCACCACCGATTACGGGTCCAGTGGCCGCCGCTCCGAATCGGCCGACGAGAGGTCTACAGACGAACGGTCGGCGGATGAACAACACCACCAAAACACTTCTATCTCCGAGTCCGACTCCACCGAAGCAGATGGCCCGACCACAATCACTTTAGAGAGGACACAAGGCCCCGAAGGCTACCACGCTTCCATGCAACATGCGGCACACGGGGTCTCGCACGACGACTTGAAACGACACAATCGGCTGGCCCACCGGGATTCGTCTGGATCCACCGGAACCAAGTCTTACGGTAAACCGGCTAATGCTCAGATGGGTAACAATCACACGGTGAATATTCAGGTGAAAAACGCACAGGTCGGTCGCAGATCCAGCTCAGGTGGCCGTGACACAGAGATCCACGAGATGCCCGTCGGAAAGAGCGGGCGGAAACACATCAGGAGCAAAACCGCAGTCGTCCCTCTCCCGGTTCCACCTGTCACGGACCGCCAAAACAGACGGAGTCGCACAATGGGGTTCGTGGGGCTGGACGGACCGCGTTTTGGCGACCCACGTCTGGGTAACCGCCCCGATGAGACCAGCCATGTCGGTCCGGTGCCCGCCGGAGACTCCAAAGGCGGCGTAGACTTCAAGGGCGTACCCGATTTCCCTCAAGACTCCAAGAGCGGTGCGGAGAAGAAGCGAAGAGCCTCAGACGGACCCCCCAGGGGACTGCCAGCGCGCCCGGACATGGTGGCTGCATCGGGTTTTGGACGCAAAGGACTGAACGCCGACCAAAAGCAATTGGTGGCAGTGCGCAGCAAGCCCGTGGAAACCACTTCAGGGGGTCTCGGTCCACCCCCGGGTGAGTCCCATTCGAGCGACACGTCTAGGCCCGACCCGTCTAGGCCCGACCCGTCTAGGGCGGACCAGTCGAGGTCCGAGCTGCCGTCGAGATTCGAGCCATGGAGGCCCGAGCAGGATAGCAAACGGCCATCTGGATCCGGATCGAAGAGTGTGAGTATCCAGGTCCCGCGTGCGGACGTCAGTTCTGATCGGAGGAAGCGCCACGGGGGTCACGGTCATCAGAAAGAGCCTGCGGTGGAAGATGCCGAGTGGGAGGATGCCGAGTGGGAAGACGAACGGTCGCCTCGTCGACAGTCATCGTCCAAGTCGACTCGCTCTACAAAGTCCGTTCGTTCCACAAAGTCGGTAAAGTCGACGCCAAGTGGATTGACGCCAAGTGGGTTGGCGCCAAGTGGATCGACACCGAGTCGGTCGTTGCCGAGTCGGTCGTTGCGGTCATTGAAGAGTGGGCGGGCCGAGCGCTGGTCGGAGGGGTCATCGTCGTCGTCAACGTCGCGATCATCGGAGACGGTGGTACGGCGTCGGCGACGTCAGTACCGGTTGAGTGAGGGGGAGTTGGCTCAGATTCAGATGGCGCTGGACAAGCCGGCTTTGCAGACGACGGGGTTATTGGAGGACATAGCGGAGATGAAGCGGACAATGGCAGCACGTGCGGAGGCCCTGGAGCAGGCAGCACACGTGCGCGATCGGGCACTCGCATCACTGCGCATGCTCATGGAACCACCGGCAACCATGCGGTTCCTTGAACAAAGCGCGTTCCGCCAATGCCTACTCGAAATCCCCTCACCACCGCCAAGCGAAGTCAATTCCGAGGATTTCGAACTCGATGAACAAACTGTTGCCGACCTTAGCTATTATGAAGAACTGGAAAAACTCAAAAACAAGCACAAAAACATTTACAGGAAAATGGTCGAAGAGGAGCTGAAACAGCGCAAGAAAGAGGGCAGACAACTCATCAACTCCGCCAGAGGTGCGGCACAGATTGGGGAGCAGATTGGGGAGCAGATTGGGGAGCAGATTGGGGAGCAGATTGGGGAGCGGCTTACAAGGCAGACCACGGCGCAAGGTACGCCTGCGTCTGCGGCAAAAAAGCAAGCAAGCTCCTCTGCCGCAGTGACTTCAATTCACGACACCAAGCCAGTCGACCTAGTAGCTGGCAAGTCAGAGACACAGAAGCGGCTGGAAGACGAAGAACAGCTGATGGCTGAAATGTCTATCACATCCTCGATGGAAAGCCCACGACTCTTGCTTCCTCCTACCGCCTCGCCTCTAGGCTCCTCACCACTGGCCTCTTCACCGCTGGCCTCTTCACCGCTGGCCTCTTCACCGCTGGCCTCCTCCCCCGCAGCATCGGGTTCGCCTCTGGGGTGTTCGTTGCCTGTGTCTGAGTTGTCTCTGCCGGAGTCGGAGGTGTCGTCGGCAGACATCGAGTCACATGAATTGCCCACGGTGCCGCTGCGGAAGTCTCGGCCGCGAATGGACTCTGGGCTTTTTGCGTCCTCCCGTTTCGAGGCTACCGAACGCTTCAGTCCACTCCGCACTCTCAAAAGCCATGAGGTCAACTCCGACTCGAGCCCCGACTCTGATTTGTCGCCCAAGATTAAGCCGGACTCCAACTTGTCGCGGAAGACGAAGCCGAACCCCGATGTTCAATTGCCCCCCCCTGTGCCCGTTCTAAAGAACGATAACCACCTCTTCGGCAGGCCCTTTCCCAGCCACCCAGCGGTACCCAGACGCCAGTCTGATGCCAACCACCCATTGGATGCCAGGCATACGGTCGAAGGAGAGCACTTTTTCTCGGCAACTCAGTTGCCGGTCGCCTTCCCGCTTGTGGGCACCATTCGAGCAGGCGAAGATGCCCGATCCTCCGACGACGAAGTGGAGCTGCACGGCACTCTCAAACTCAGCCACCTCAAAGAACTATACAACTCACGAGGTCTTCTGCGCGATCCGACACAGTTCGACGAAGAAGACTTAGATGAACTCGAGGACACCATCCACGACATCGGAGTCCACGGCATCCCCCAACCACCGCCACCCGAACCACCTGAACCCGAGCTGCGCCCTGGACGGACCGCGCGACGGACCGCGCGAAACAAATACAATACATTACCTGCTATATCGCGCGGTCGAGATGGCGATGGTGATGGTGATGGCGGTCGAGATCGCAGACCTCGACTCCGTACCAGTCCGGACATGGACGAGCTGGCATTTCGTGACGAGCTTGATGCTCGTCACCGCGAGGTCGCCCGACGTCGCTCTTCTGGAGGCTACAGCCACAGAAAGCATGTGGGGCAACTTGGTCGCAGACGTTCTTTCGACTTGGATCGCACGCAGCAAGTGAGTATTGCGGATGAGAGTGAGGGGCAGGGGGATATCGTGGACAAGCTCAGGGCGGCCCTGGACTGTATGGAATGCATAAGGGAAGAAGTTACCGATGGCTTAGAAACCGCCCGGAGCGAGGCAAGTGCCAAGAATCGTGAGGGGGGAGCTGGACAAGGGGCAGCTGGACAAAGCGGAGCTGGACAAAGCGGAGCTGGGCAAAGCGGAGCTGGGCAAAGCGGAGCTGGACAAAGCGGAGCTGGGCAAAGCGGAGCTGGGCAAAGGGGAGCTGGGCAGGGGGGAGCTGGGCAGGGGGGAGCTGGACAAGGGGGAAGTGGACGTGGGGGAGTGGAGCAAGGACACGAGAAAAGTGGACCGGTTGCGCACGTGGAGGAGACGGCGTACTGGCCGGCCGAGAACCGGTATTCGTCACCACGGCCGAAGACAGGTAGTCTAAACAAGTCTGAGCCGGCAGAGTCGCGTCCCAGCCTGCATTCTAACGGGGGTGCGGTAGACCACGAACTTCGGACACTGCCCAACTTCGGCGCTGCCGACAACGCGGACCCGGTTACAACTGGGGACACGCACTTTGCTGTGGAAGCCGAGTCGTGTCCCGTCTTGGTCGAAGCCCAGCCAGGGCCCGAGTTAGAAGACAAACTGCCGAGCTTCTCTCCCGAGGAGCTAGCTTACCACGTGCACGAAGATTACCAAGGCGATAAAACACTCGATCAGCGCACTCTTGCAGAACAGTATCCGCCTGATGAGCAGAACGAAAACCGGAGTCACTACCCCATGGTCGGCTTGTCATCAGCGCACTTGAAACCGCCTGAACCAGCACACAACTTCAGCTACCAGCTTGGCGACTTGAAAGCAAACACTAACTTGGAAATGTCCAACTTGGACCCCATGTCATGCCCCATACTGACTTGGGATTGCAATGAGTACGACGACGGGTCGTACGAACGTATGTGTCCACAGTTTCCTCAGCAGCCCGACGAGGCATACTTGCAAGGGGATGTAGTTCAGGAAAGGGACGAGGAGACTCTGCACTCAAGGTATCAGTTGCAGTCACAGGGCGCGTCTCCCACTCATCGCGGGGATGTGTATGGCCACGGGTATGGCTCTGGCCACGGGTATGGCTCTGGCCACGGGTATGGGTATGGCCACGGGTATGGCTCTGGCCACGGGTATGGCTCTGGCCACGGGTATGGGTATGGCCACGGGTATGTATATAACGGGCATGGGTATGGCCCTGGCCCCCACTACCAGTATGAGTTTGGCAACCAGTATGGTCGTGACTACAATCTACGTAGTTCTTATCCTATGCATTGCGGTGATGCTGGTCGAGGTTGCTATGTGGTTGAGGATCCGCCTGTAGTTGAGGCATTGCACAAGTCTGCAGAAGATGTGTTGCAGATCCCGCTCCGTTGTCTGACGGAGAAGACACCCGTCGAGCCGCCCGTGACAGGCCGTAAAATCAAGACCAGACGGCCCTGGATCATTACGGGTATGGATTCTGAATGGACGAACTTTACGGTGCAACAAGCGGAAGGTGATTCAGACGGTGAAGAGACTCCGTGCCATGAGGTATGGAGGGCTCTTCCACCCGGATCGGATTCACCTATCGAGCTGCTCCCTACAGAAATCCCCAAATGCCTCTTCCGACGGAATCACCCCCCGCCATTAATTCGAATGGACGTTCCCAAAGCATTCGCGCCACTCCGCAATCGTTATGCCCTACCGGAACATCAACTCCCAGTCGAACCCATATACAGCAAGACCAAACCACAAATGAAGCCACCACCTCACGTCAAACCACCTCCAGCACCATTTGAAGTATTCAGCAGACGGTTCTCACTTCATTAACTGACTGATCAACTGCAGCTACTCATCAGATGTATTTTTTGATTACAACTTCAACCCGCATCAAACCCGCCATACTGTATGTCAACCACATATATCGATGATTTACACACAAGGTAGTTGGGACGGCAGAGGCTTGGCTTAATCTTCTTTCAACAACAAGAAGGTCAGTCAGTATCAGCAGGTCATATCCACGGGTCTGCTTTGCTTCCGGTCCCAGTTAAAATTGGTCCAACTTAAATCCGAAACGACAACAAAGAGGACAACAAAGAGGATAGGGGACAAGCCAGGGCGACAACAAAGAGGACAGGGTGAAGAGGACAGGGTGAAGAGAAAAAGGTAGCGATGATGATGTGGGTAGACGAGTTTGCCCCGAAAAGTCTGGCGGAGCTGGACTTTCACAAGCCCGTGACGGAGATGCTGGAGCGTATAGCAAGTCTGAAGGACGTTCCTCACCTCTTATTCCACGGTCCGAGCGGGGCGGGAAAATGCACAAGGGCTCGGCTCCTCTTGAAGGCCCTGTACGGTGATGGCGCCGCGCTAACGAAAAAGGAAACTGTCCAGGTGGATAGCAAGCTGGAATTCAACGTATACGGCTCAATTTATCACACAGAAAGTAGGCACTACCACAGAGTGCACAGAGTGGCACCACCACAGAGTGCACGGAGTGGCACCACCACAGAGTGCCGACAAAATCTTGCGTCCGGTAGTATACTGTTCTGACTTGGGTTTTAAGGACCGTCAGTGTGTGCAGACATTGATAAAGGGTTTGGCTGGGTTGGGTTCATCGGCCGGGTTCGGGTCCGGCAAGCCGAAGTGCCGCGTGTTCATGTTGCATGAGGCGCACACATTGACATTGGCGGCGCAGGCAAGTCTGCGGCGCACGATGGAGCGTTACTCTTCGACCTCGCGTTTCTTCTTGTTGACGGAGCGATTGTCTTCGCTCATTGCGCCGCTTAGGAGTCGCTGCATCTGTATACGCGTGCCCGCTCCGGATGCGTCCATGGTCGAGATGGCACTAAGGAAGACTCCAGCCGCAAAGAAAACAGTCACCGCCCTCGCGGCCACAGAGCGTAATATGAGACGTGCTTTCGTGCGCGCTCAACTGATTAATATCCGTGGCACGAACGGAGGCAAACTCGATTGGGAACACTCAGTCGACCAAATCGTACTCAGTCTACGTAAACCCAGTATCGAAGCCTTTCTCAATTGCAGAAATCAACTACAGGAAGCCTACGCACATGGAATTGACGGCCAACTCCTTTTGGAAACCCTCGCCGACCGACTCATACTCGAAGTCGCAGAAAATAACCGACCGCTTCTCGCCAAGGCGGCAGCCTTCTACGTACGAACCCCCTCTGCTTCCTTCCCCCTCGGCTTCCTTCCCCGCGGCTTCCTTCCCCGCGGACTTCCCCTCCCCTTGGGCGTGTCCTTTGGGCTAGCTGCCTCCCACCCGCCCCTTCGATGCACGGCTTGTCCAATTTAACTCCGCTTACTCGTCACGTGCTACCCCCGCTCTTGCTTTGACCGTTTCGAATGTAGTCTCAGACCATGGCTCAAGGAAGCAAAGAGGTTTTTCACTTAGAAGGATTCATTGCACACTGTTTATGCTTGAAATAACCGTCTCAGATTTTTACTAGAAAAAATTTCGGAATGAGGATTGGCACGTGGATTCTGGGGCTGTTTGCCCTCGCAACCACTTCGCAGGCGCAGTCCAAAGGTAAGACGTGGTTTATTTTATAGCACACGTGTGTGTGTCCGTCTAGGGCGAGTGGGAGCAAACACGTGTGCGTGGGATGAGATGGCCTTCGCTCGCGTGCCCTCACCTTGCCCGTGCCGTCTTGTACCTTACACTGTGGAAATTCGATTGCTGCGGGATGACGCTTTTTCTGTAGTGGAAGGCCCTGTGATTGGTATTGACCTTGGTACCACATATTCTTGTGTGGGTATTTATAAGAACGGACGCGTGGAGATTATTGCGAACGACCAGGGTAACCGTATTACGCCATCGTACGTGGCTTACACGCCTTCAGGCGAGCGTTTGATTGGCGAGGCTGCGAAGTCGCAAGCGACGTTGTATCCGGCTGAGACGTTGTTCGACGTAAAACGGTTGATTGGGCGTCGGTACACGGACGAGAGTGTGGCAGCTGACGTCAAGTTGTTGCCGTACGAGATCGTGAACAAGGAGGGGAAGGCGATGATTGCAGTGAAGGTGGGTGAGCAGAAAAAGACGATGGCTCCCGAGGAGGTGAGTGCCATTGTATTGGGCAAGATGAAGACGATTGCAGAGGCGTTCTTGGGAACGGAAGTAAAGAACGCAGTGGTGACAGTACCGGCGTACTTCAACGACGCACAGCGACAGGCGACCAAAGACGCTGGAACCATCTCGGGGCTGAACGTTATCCGAATTATTAACGAACCGACAGCGGCGGCAATCGCTTACGGGTTGGACAAGAAAGGCGGTGAGAAGAACATTCTAGTGTACGATTTGGGTGGTGGCACTTTTGATGTATCTCTCCTTACTATTGACAACGGAGTTTTTGAAGTGGTCGCGACCAATGGAGACACACATTTGGGCGGTGAAGATTTCGACCAGAAGACCATGGAGCACTTCATCCGTCTGTTCAAGCAGAAGAACGGTAAGGACATTCGCAGCGACCCGCGCGCACTCCAGAAGTTGCGTCGTGAAGTCGAGAAAGCCAAGCGTGAACTCTCATCTTTCCACAACACGCGTGTGACAATTGAAAATCTTATGGAGGGTATCGACCTGGACGAGCCCTTGACTCGAGCCAAGTTCGAAGAACTGAACGCCGAACTGTTCCAACGCACTCTGAAGCCTGTGCAGAAGGTGATGAAGGATGCGGACATGACGAAGGACCAGATTGATGAGATCGTCATGGTTGGAGGTTCGACACGCATTCCAAAGATCCAGTCGTTGATTCGTGATTTCTTCGATGGTAAGGAGCTGAACCGCGGCATTAATCCGGATGAGGCTGTTGCCTTTGGTGCGGCAGTACAGGCGGGTATATTGGCTGGTGATACGGACGATAACGACATGGTGCTGTTGGATGTGACCCCTCTGACTCTTGGCATTGAAACGGTGGGAGGTGTGATGAGTCCATTGATTAAGAGGAACTCGGTTATCCCTACTACGAAGTCTCAGACGTTCTCGACTAACGCAGACAATCAGCCTGGTGTTTTGATCCAGGTGTTTGAAGGAGAGCGTGCCATGACTAAGGACAACCATCTGCTGGGCAAGTTTGAGTTGTCCGGCATCCCCCCAGCCCCCCGTGGCCAGCCCCAGATCGAGGTCACCTTTAGTGTCGATGCCAACGGCATTTTGAGTGTGCAGGCCGAAGATAAGGGCACCGGCAAAAGCGAGTCTATAACAATCACTAACGACAAAGGCCGCCTAAGTCCCGAAGAAATCGACAGGATGGTGAAGGAAGCCAAAGAGTTCGCCGACCAGGATCAAGCCGTCAAGGACAAGGTACAAGCAAGGGGTAATCTTGACCACTACCTTGCCTCACTCAAACGCCAAACTGAAGACAACGACAAACTAGCTAGCAAGCTCGAAGAAGATGACCTCCAAACCATCCAGGATCTCGTCGCAGAAGGCGAAGACTGGCTCCGTGAAAGCCCTGACGCTGACCTCGATGAACTCAAAGATAAGTACAAAGAGATCGAAAAGAAAGTGAAACCCATAATCGAGAAGCTTTATGGCGCTGCCTCCACCGCTGATGAGGACGACGACGATGATGATCTCCGCGACGAACTTTGAACGAACCAAAAGTGAACAACACTGTAGGACAACCAAAAGTGAACAACTTGAGTGGCATCCGGATAGCAAACCAACTTAGAGGCGCCTTGAGTCGGTGGGTGGCATCCGATTTGGACAGCAATTAACTTGAGCACAGCTTGATCTCAGCTTTAGAGCTTGGGCACATTTTTGTTTTTAAAAAAGATGACGTCAACCGCCTACTTCTCCAAACCTCTCGTCACGCCTTCAATTTTGTTCATGGTGTGTTCGCCGGGCTTGATACACCGTGCACATGACGTGGCAGGTTTGCTTGAAGAGGCCTGCGCCTATCAGATTGTGGATACAAACAGGGCGTTTGAACAGCTGATGGAAGGAGTGGAAGCGGGTACGAAGCCAAGTGAACGAATCCTCATTATGCCCGCCGTCGCAAATGACCGAGCTGGTCGAACTGTATGCTACAACGTCTTATGTGAAAGAAAGTAACCCCTCATTCTACTCTGACCAGACAAGGCCGCCCCTCACTCCATTCTGACCAGACAAGGTCGCCTCACCTAGCTACGTCTCACCTAGCTACCATTTTTATTTCGGTAGCATCCCGCTCCACGCAGCGGGTTGCATTGCGATTATGGACAATACCTTTCCCCCTACCAAGTTGTTTGACCCACTCAATAAAGCAGAAACAGACAACTGGATTTCTACAGATTTCATGTGCGTCATAAGAACTGAAGTAACTTTATACACACACTCAGTGAGTGTGATCTTGACCATTTTAGGAAGAAGTTGCCGAGCTAAAAGAGTTCATTGCGGTTTTGTTACCGATATTGGTATCTTGACTGGTAAGTGCTTTCTACATATGTATCATGGTGGTGACTTTGCGCCGCTCCTTATTGACTTCACACATTTACAAACTAATTAATGTAAGGAGCAACAGCTATAAGTGCAGTTACAACCATTCCGATACACGCGATTCTCTAGAAACGAACATAGGTGTCTAGAAACGAAGTGAGTGCGTGTTTGATCGTGTGCTCTATGTAAGACTTACTTCCGTTTGAGACGGTACTGCTATATAGTGGTAGTCTTCTCCGAATTCTACGCCTGCTGATACCAGGACAGCGAGAACCAAGAAGACAATAGGAAGCCTGGAATTCGCGCTGTCTGCACACGCGTGTGCACACACGTGTGTTCATAAGCAAATTCGCTTACCGAGACTCAAACATGGCTTCGAAAAATAGATTATAAAGAAGTTTTAATCAGGGATTTTAATCAGGGATTTTAAGCAGGAGACAGGCAAGATCTAATACACACGTTTAGCAGGGGGCACGTGCTTCATCTCTGAATCGAGCGGCTGACTAATGACGTTTCGATATGTTAGGCGAATATCCGCCTCGTGAATGTCGTAATCAGTGGCGAACGACAGTGTATGTTTCATCCACTTCTTGTCGTCTCTCTCTGGATAGTCGTCACGCGCATGTGCTCCTCTGGACTCCTGTCTGTTGGCTGCCGCGTTCATCGTGTGCGACGCGCAGTGTAGCAAATTTTCCAGCTCCAATGTCTCAATGAGATCAGTGTTCCTGTAGCAGGTGAGTATGATGCCCCGTTTGTTGTGTCAACTTAGTGTGGTTCTTACCAGGCGAGGCCGTGGTCGGTGATGCCGATGTGTTTGAAGTCGGTGGCGTCTCTTTTGAGTAGTCGAACGCCTTCTTGGAGTACGTCTTCCCTGCGGAACACAGCAGCATGTCTTTGCATGTCAACTTGCATTCGTGCGCGGAGTGCGGCCGTAGGTATATCTCCCTTGGCATGTCTAATGCGTTCGTAACGTTCGACACAGCGATCCAGCTTGTGTTGTGGCATGGGTCGCACTGGGTCTCCAGGTTTGTTGTTTTCGCCGATGGTGAGTGCGGCGCGTCTTCCGAACACTACGATATCTAGTAGAGAATTGGCACCGAGTCTGTTTGCGCCATGGACGGAAGCACACGCAGCTTCACCGGCAGCGTAAAGGCCAGGGACCGGTTGGTCCACATTCAGGTTAGATGTTTCGGGGTCTTCATTGGTGGCTGGGGCGCCTTTGGCGGTTGTGAGTACTTGTCCCTTCCAGTTGGTGGGGATGCCACCCATGTTGTAGTGTACGGTCGGTACTACGGGGATAGGTTGTTTGAATACGTCGACGGCTGCGAAAATAGCGGCAGTCTCCGTGATCCCGGGCAGTCTATCCTTAATGGTCTCCCGCGGTAATCCAGTCAGATCTAGGTACAAGTGGTCTTTTTTGGGGCCGCAGCCCCGGCCTTCCAAAATTTCGACTGCCATGGAGCGCGAGACGACATCGCGGCTTGCCAGATCTTTGGCATTTGGCGCGTAACGTTCCATGAAGGCTTCGCCGCTAGCGTTTCTCAAAATAGCGCCTTCGCCACGACAGCCTTCCGTAATCAGGCAGCCAGCCGGGTAAATTCCGGTGGGGTGGAATTGTACAAACTCACTGTCCTGCAACGGCAAACCGGCACGTGCAATGAGGCCATGTCCGTCGCCAGTACAGGTATGTGCGGATGTGCAAGACTGATAAGCCCGGCCGTATCCACCAGTGGCCAACACGACATTGTTTGAGCGGAAAACGTGTAGGGCGCCGTCATCCAAGCAGACCGCAACCACGCCAGTTACGGCGCCATGGTCGTCCAGAATGAGATCCAGTGCGAAGTATTCAACAAAGAACTCACACTTGTGTTTCAACGCCTGTCCGAACAATGTATGCAGCATAGCGTGTCCAGTCCGATCAGCCGCAGCCGCACAGCGGTATGCCTGACCACCTTTGCCAAATTCCAAACTCTGACCACCAAAAGCACGCTGATAGATCTTGCCTTGTTCTGTGCGACTGAAAGGAAGTCCCATCCGCTCCAACTCGATCACCGCACGAGGCGCATCACGACACATGTACTCAATCGCATCTTGGTCACCTACCCAGTCTGCTCCTTTCACCGTGTCATACGCATGCCAACGCCAATCATCCTTTCCCATGTTACCTAGCGCCGCATTTATACCACCCTGAGCTGCCACGGTGTGTGAACGGGTGGGATACAACTTCGTCACACATGCCGTCTTGAAACCCTGCTCACCCAACGCTACTGCCGCACGCAATCCCGCTCCCCCAGCACCCACCACCAACGCGTCGTATATATGATCCACCAACTTCACTCCCTGTAACATTTTCAAATGACCGACAACACACTTTCCGGCCACAGAACCAACTCACCGTCCTACCCAAAAAAACGTTCCCCCTCCCGGGCGTGTCATCCCCCTCCCGGGCGTGTCATTCCCCCTCCCGGATGTGCCATCCCTCCTCCTCTTTTTCAGGTGCGGCTTACTGGAGTGGTGGCGAGATAGTACGGACAGATCTGGGTCCGTTTTTCCTCCTCTTTGGTCCCGCCGGCGTTCCATGCGCCGGCGTAAAAATCCAGCCAGCTCTCAGGCACGGCGACCTTGGGGTGCACGGACTGGACAATGCCCGTTTGACCCGTGCGCTGGTTCCGCACACTTTCGCCAGGAGCGAACAGATGCGCGCTCACGGGCGGATACGGCTTCGTAGCGTTCGTCACAGTGCGAGGCGCCCGCTCCAGGAGTCTCCACTTGACCTCGGCTGCTTGGTATACCATGGAACCGCAGCGGATGCCGGCGTCCGCACCCTGCAGCACACACTGGTCGTCCGCGACCCGTTGGTCGTCCGCGGCCAACGGGTCGTGCCCCGCCAAGAAATCGTCGTCCGCCGCTGGTGCTGCTAAGGAGTCCTGTTCCAAGTGGAACTTGCGCAGGAGTTCGGCGTTCCCGGCACTGAGCGGCAACCAGTTGAAAGCGTGCAGTAATTCGCTCCGCAATTGGCTCTGGTCCTCGCCACTCAGGACCACGAAGTCCTCACCGTCCGATGTTGAAGTCGCCGAGGCGTCGTTGCCCCGGTCGAACCAGTATTCCAAAACGGCAGCAGCGCGCCGGTTTATGGGTAGGACGCCGTCCGCACCCTCGGTTGGGGCCTTACCCTGGTCTAGAACGCCCTCATTTGGGACTCGTAGGGAGTTGATGGCCTTGTGACAGGTGATGCTTTCGGGAATGGTGGGGACCTTGGGTTTGAGTAGAGGGTGTGCGCACACACTCGCCATCTCAACCAGAACGCTATAGACACATTCCTTGACCTCCAGAACGTTGATAACTCGCATCGTCTTCGCGTTGATCATTTCCATTGGACAGAAGAAGTATACGTACGTTTGACGCACTCCGTTCGGGTTACTCGGACATCTCGTACCTGCGCTCATGTACATCTTCAACCCCAACGCCCCTGCTTCTCGTGGCCAGTACCCCATCCCCGCACTGAAGCCCAGTAACGTCGGCGGGATGATCTCCACATGCAAGTCCAGGTCATCCCACATCGACCAGGGCTGGAAAGTCCCGCCCGACGCGGAAGCCGAAGTGGTGGCGCCCTCTGTGGTGGTCATGCCCTCCGTGGCCGAAGCCGAAGCCGTGGACGTGGTCACGGCCCAGTCCTTGGACAACAGGCTTGGCATGGTGTACGTCTTCCCGTTGCGAGACCGAGGCCACATGGGGTTCGGCTCTTGGTAGTTGGAACGAGGCGGGTCACGACTGGGTATGTTTACGCCCAAGTGGAACATGGCGTCCTTGACGGACCCGTTTGGCTCCGGATGGAACTGTAGCAAGCTGTCCGGGTGGCAGTATTCATAGGTCCAGAATTTGTAGGTTACGTTGTGACACTGGCCAAAGGTTGGCGAGAGAAGCCAGGCCAAAGATCGTGGCACCCACTCCGTCGCTGCCACCTGGGAGTCTCCGGTCGTCGGCACCGTGCTTGAACTCTCTGCAGCATCCTTGGTCTGGCCTCCGGGCAGATACCCGTCAAGTGGGAAGCTAGCCCAGTCACAGTAGGCGAATGAGGAGATGACCACGTGCAAGGAGTGGCCCAGGTCCTCCAGGCTTTCGACGGCCATGGGCGTGGGTCCACAGCGCAGCTCCACTGTGGCTTCGTTGCCTTCGTAGCCATGAGTATAATGCTGTGTCACAGAACCATCCATGCGAATGCCATCTCGGGCGAAGTCATGATAACCCATATGCCAGGATGTGGAACCTGGCTCCGCCAATAGCCGTGAACCCACGTATCGAATCACTTCGCGACCGACACAAATACTATAACTATATCTGCTCGTCTGGCCTCCCACTGTCGGCCGTCGACTTGTCGCCGACTTGTCTCGATCCGACTTTTCGACATGATCTCCACGTGCGTATAGACACTGGCCGAACAGTCCGGATGCCTTCATCTTGCTAAGTGTGTACCAATTCTTACGTTCACGTCTCCATAGATCTTCCACCACCTTGGGTCTAGTTCTTGCGTGGGGACTTGAACAAAAAAATTCGTGCGCTCCGATCGACTGCGACCACACCCGGCCGTCGGCGAGCTCAGCCTCCACTTCCTCTCTAGTCGTCGTCCGGTCGAAGTCCAAGTGCACATTGTACGCGGGCTCCATCGATGCCGGCGGCTGTAGCTCGTGATGCCGCGAGAACACGGTCTGGCCACCCGCCAACAGAGCCAGACCGGCGACCAAGATTATCATTGATTAAAAACTTGGTCAAACTTGATCGGTCGTATCGCTCCGGCGAACACACAATTCGTGTGAACACACAATTCGTGTGAACACACAATTTGTGCGAACACACGCACTTTGGGCAGGCGGTTCAGACAAACACATTTTGAACAAACACCATTCGGCTGATGCACGGCGCGTGGCGACACACCTACTTACTACATGGTGGTGTCGGCCTGACGAGGGAGAGACTCGTTGGTCGTGCCGCGGTCTGAGCCGAGTGCGTCAACGTCAAGATTGGGTTTGTTGAGCCATTTGGTGGTGAGAAGTGCGTCTACTAATTCGTCGGTGCTGGTGTCGAGAGCGTGTCGTTGCTGGGCGGAGTGGTCGAGGAGGTTTCCAGACTTGGCCATGATGATTGGAAGGAAGATGACGCCGTTGAGGAAGCCGAAGAAGATGACAAGGGCCATCATCCAGAAGAAGTTGGTCATGACGAATTCCTTGCGGAAGTAGATGGGTAAGATGCCAAGGAGAGTGCTGATAGCGCCGTGTGTGACGGGGCTGCATATGAGGATGAGTGTTTCAACTGCACGTGCGTTCGGATTTTTGCCAAGGGTGTGACAAAATGTATGTATCACGTGCACGGTATAATCCACACTAAACCCGATGCTAAGAACCAAGAGGATCATTGAGAGAATATTGAGCTGGATACCTAGCATAGCCATGCCCCCAAACACTCCGATATCCACTGCACAAATCATCAAGGTCACCAACACCACGTTTGTGAACCCCTTCATCAAAATGGAGCTCGCTATTATGATGCTAACGAACGCCGTTAACATGTTCAGAGCCGTAGAAGTCCATATCATCGCGTCCGTCTCGAAGTACAGAAACGTGTCCATGAATGCCTGACTCGTAAACCACGTATGCGGTAACACGCTTCCGCTGGTTGAACTACTACGTGAGGTGGAATCCGTCTCCGCCTCCGATCCAGACTGTTCGGAAATGATGAGTCTCCGGATTGCGGGTTGACTGAAGTGCATCTTGTTCAAGATATCCTGGTAGGGGGGTAGAGGGGCATCGTAGTCACGTTGTTTATGTTTCGGCATTTGGGTGAAGCTGCCTGTCAGTTGTAGGTCTGCTCGAGGCTTGCGTTTAGCCCACTCCGAAAACTCCTTCATCAATGCGCGTACCTTGAGCATGTACTGGCTTTGTGAATAGCTGTCCAGGAAGTTGTAATTGAAGACCATCAAGCGGAACGCCAGCAACTGTGGCATCTGCGCACCCGAGGTTAACACCACTGGCGGCCTTCGACCATCCACATCAAAGACGAATTGGTCGCGAACATGCACACCGACCACTCCGCCAGATAACCAGTTGTTCAAGTGCTCATAAAACCGCAGTCGACGAGCGCTATCCTGAGCCGCATCATCGATTGGTATATTCTCTACGGCATCCATTGAACCGGGTTGAGTGATATGTCTAACATATTCTTGATAGAACAATATCATGCCGTTGAGTACATCTTGGACTTCATCGAGTGCTCGAAGCCTGCGGTCCATTTCAAGGAGTGCGACAATTGTCTCATCCTTCCACCAAGGTATATCGCCGAGGGTTGATAGGTACTGGTTAGTTTCACTACCAACTTCGGCACGCATAAAGCCCATGACTTGGTCGGTAAGTGACTCCGGTTCGCGAATACCATAGCGAGTGGATAGGAAGTTCTTCATTATCTCCGAGTCGTCAGGGTCATTTGGTGTGGTAAAGGTGATATAAGTCTGTTGGGGGAAGATGGGGAACTTGTCATGTGAGACGGCGAAGGCTTCTCGGAGATAGCTGTCAGGTGGCGTAAGGTTCTGGAGGTCTAGACCTGCAGTTAGCCCGAATACGGTTGTATAGGCGAAGACGACAAGATAAACAATCATACCGAATAACATCCAGAACTGAAAGGCCTTGTTGACCAACAACGGACCGACCCTGCGCAGGAGGACATGGCGAGTTCGTTTGCCTTTATTGCCTCGAGGTTCTTCGCAAAGGTGCAGAGCCATAGACGAAAGTTCATGTGCAGCTTTGATGTCACAGTTCAGCATGTCTTTCGTCGGCGTTTCAAGCAAGTCGACCTTGCCCTCCGTCGGGAGCACGCTGCTAGCGTCGTCCAGGAGCATGGGGTCGTGCAGACTAATGTTGCGTTTTCCAACTTCTTCCGACAGTTCCCGTAGCCGGTCAGTGAAGAGCCATTGTAGTGTCGCCACTTCGAACATGCTGCGGCAGTTGATGAAGCGGTGGCGCAGACTGTTCAGTTCACGCGAATCGCGCAACTTGGGGTCACGCGGGTGCCAACTTCCTAGTTCAATCGCAAGCTGCGTACTCGCTACCGTCGACTGGAACGGGTCAGCACGCCGACCCGGATGGTCAGGCCCCACCAAACTGTCGGGCGAACCGCCGGGCGAACCACCGGTACGGAGAAGACGGAGGGAATCAGCGGTGAGAGTTGAAGGTGGAAGTTTCTGGAGCCAATGGTCGGGCAAGAAGAAAATGCGACCTTGGCTCTCAGCACGAGCCTCCAGACAGAGGAATGGGTAGAAGAAAACAATGTTGAAGACGAACCCACCTGCTAGACCCGTGCCGGTCTGGATGCAGAAGTTCCGAACGGCGGTGTAAGGTCCAAGGGCTCCGACGGCGAAGGAGAGTATGGAGGTGAAGGTGGTGATGAAGAGCGCAATGCCTGAATCGGTCAGCGCGTTCCGGCAGCGATCTTTGGGCTTCGCTGTCTGGCTGTAGGAAAGCGTGTAAAAGTTGAGTACCACAAAGGTGTTGTCCAGTCCGATTGCGAGCACGAGGAAAGGCGAGGCGTGCATCGTGGGTGTGTGCTTCAGACCGGCCCAGTAACAGATACCGCCGCCCGCGAGGTAGCCTAACAGAGCAGACACGGAGCCCATGAAGCCACACATACTTTTCGAACGCACGAGGTTTCGTGTGTGGTTAAAGACCACCATGTACGTAGCGATAATAACGTACGCAATCACGTAGTCGCGCATCAGCCGAGCGTCAAACTTGGTGCTGCGCGCAAGCTCGTCCTGCCAACTACGCTCAGCGTTCACGAACACTTTGAAGTCTCGCCAGTCGTGGTCCTCGAAGTCAGAGAACAATAATTCGTCCGGCTTTGCAAATTCGCCCGGATCCGCAGAAAAAGGTTTCAGATCGTGGTTGATGAAGTTTATGAAGGCCTGCTCCCACTCCATGCTCTTTGCCTTGACCGCCTTGTCGCTGGCTGTGTCGTAGAGCATCAGGAACCCTGTAGCATTAAACAGTTTTACCGTGCCACTCGGCAGTCTCTGGATTCCGGGATCCGTGACCGCCAAATCCGCCTTGACGATCTTGTTCTGACTCAAGTTGGGCACATACGGCCAAACCCGGGTGGCTATTGGTACTCCATACATTCGTGAGTTGCGATACAAGTCCAACGGCGTCATACTCACACAAGGAGGCACGGTTTCCACTGTCTTCTGGTCGCTGCCAAACTTGAGGTATTGACGGTAGCACACGTCATCAAACCTCCAACCCTCTTCGTCACTTGTCAGGTTTCGTTGAATGTACTGATCCAACCGCTCCAATTTCGAGAGCACAGGTTTTGTCAGCACGTTCGAGTTGTCTTTGCTCACCACAAACACCATGCTAATTCTTGGCGGGTCTCCAAAGAGCGACGCTTGCTTCGCCAGCTCAGCACGGGCCTGCGAAGCCGGAAGAGCATACAGGTTGTCCGCCCGCGTCTCAAATTGGATGTTCAGGAACGACAGTCCCGCCACCAAGCCGATGGTTAAACTGCCGATTATGAACTGAAACCCAGAACACGTTTACCCCATCGGCATCACCTTACCCAAAGCGGAAAATCGTATATGAAGCCGCCAACCTCATAGAAAACATGTCTGAATCTTTCGAGAGCTAATGCTTTGAGGCGTGATATCTTTTTAAGTGCATTTGACCGCGGGTTTGCTGATGGTTCCGCCTCGAATCCAACCATCGGAGCCCTGTTCGGTGAACACACAGAAAACCCAGGGACTATTGTTCAAATTGGTGCAATTCAAAACACATTTATGGAGATATTTTTTATTGCAAACACGTGTGTGCTTCACTGGATTTCTCGTAATATGAGACAAAAAAATTAATTGATTTCGTTCGGGTCCATTAGATTGCGCTCGTTTGAGTTGAGAGCGGTCAGTTCTTTCATTTCCTCATTGTCCATGTTGAAGTGGAACAAGTTAAAGTTGTCAACAACTCTCTCATCCTTTGTGCTTCGAGGCAGAACGGTGTAGCCCATTTGCATGGCCCATCTGAGTAGAACGGCAGCAGGTTTGACGTTATGTTTTGCCGCAATTTTGGTGACCACAGGATGTGTGATATGCTTGGCGACGCTGTTTACGCCTCCGAGAGTGGAGTAGGAGGTGATGAGTATGCCATGGTCCTTGCAGATTTTGTCGAGGTCTTGAGGTATCTGGCAGAAGACATTGAGCTCAATCTGGTTGACCATAGGGTACATAGCTTTAAGATCGCCAGCAGCCTTTCTGGCTTTGACATCTTCTAGTATGGGTAGGAGATGTTTGGGCATGTAATTGCTGACTCCGATGGCTCTGAATTTGCCTTCGTGGTACATCTGTTCCATGGTTCTCCAGCAAGTAATCCTTGTCTGTGTTTGGTCAGCCTTTTGGTTCTCCAAGGTGAAGAGAGGGTTACTACCACCAGAGCTTTCTGGTTCGTCGAATCCTACATGAATACCTGGCCAGTGAAGCAGCATCAAATCACAAGAAGATCGGTCGAAGTTCTTCAAGTGCTCTTCACATTGCTCGCGAACACCAGCCGGAGTAAAATGAGTTACCCAAACTTTTGACGTCACAAAAATCTTCCGGTCATCTCTCGGCTTCCCATGTGGCTTCTCAAAACTCTTCCTAAACTCCTCCTCAGACACCACCTTAAATGGACCACACTCTTTCACATCCGTATGAGCTGTCGCCTTACCATCAAACTTAGATACAATCGGTCCAATCACTGCCTCATTCTCATAACAAAACGCATCATCCAACGCCTTGTAACCCGTCTTCAAAGCCATAGCCACCGCCGACTTGGTACTCTCATCCTTCGCCTCCAGACACCAACATCCTAGAGACACCACCGGCAACATCACTCCATTACTGAACTCATGAACCAGAACTGACATCTCCCCCAACACCAACACCGACCAAAAAACAACCACTGACTATGAGACATAACACGCACCGACACACACCGGCACACACGACATGGTTCGTGACATGGTTGGTTGATGTAGTAGTTACTACGAAGGTGAGCGAAAAATAGATCTAGCCAAACGAGTCAACCGGAGTCAGGGCTATCTAACTAAATTCTGGTCACTGTCTTAGTCACTGTCGTCGTCGTCGTCGTCTTCGTCGTCTTCGTCGTCGTCGAACACGTCATCCTCGTCGCTTGCGCTCTCTTCTTCTTCCGCGATCATGTCCAACACACTGTCGTTGTCGTCTGACTCCTCCTGGACCTTGACCTTCTTCGTCTGTCGCTTCGGTCGCGGGGCCTCGACGCTGGGAGCTGGACGTTTCCGCTGGAGGACGGCCGCGTCCGCAGTGCCCACTTCTTTGTTCAGGTCGGTTTTGAACCAAGAAGATTCGGACACAGAGCTGCTGCTGGGCGCAGCGGGATTCGAACCCGCGGGGTTCGAACCAGTGGCGTTGGAACCGAGGATCTTGGCGCGCAGCGCGTCCATGAGTCCAAAGTCCTTAGTCAGCTCGTCCGAGGTCGTGGAGGAGTTCCGCGAAGAGGCGTTCTTCGACGGCATTATGTTTTCGGACCTCGGCTCCGACGACTTGCCGGCAGCCACTTCCGATCTGCCCGCGGCATGGCGCAGCTTGGCAAAGAGAGCGGTATCGTCGGCGTCGCTGGATGAGTCCTGGAGCTTCTTGCCCGACTGCGACTTAGTTGCCAGCGACTTAGTTGCCAGCGACTTAGTCGCCAGCGACTTAGTCGACTTGCCAGATTGGGATTTCCCTGATTGCGACCTGGCAGTCCGTTTCGGCGCTCGTGTGTTGAACTGGGTGCCGATGAGGCCGGCTGCATGTCGTCGGGCGTTCTCCGACTCGATACGGTCTGCCTTGATGTCTTCTTCAAGTTGTTCGATAGCGGCTTGTAGTTGGTGTAAGTCTTCTTTCCAGAGCGCTTCAGCGGTGGTGCTTCTGTACTTTTCGAGTTCGGCCTCTTTCTTGCCTGCTTTGGTCTTGAGCTCCTCTACGCGCTCCAGCGTCAGCTGATACATAGGCATAGACAGCAGATATTGGAATGTGCCCTTTACAGGACTGACTTTGCTCTCGTCCTCCTCCTCCTCGCGCTTTGCGTCGGGGTCCAGAATGGTGCCGTCATCGGCCACGTCGCCCGCGAGGGTTGGATTGCTAGTATCGTAACGATTTTCAATCGCCGTGCTGCGATCGAAGTTTTTGGCGTCCAGTTCTTGTTCTAACAACGCGCGTCTTTTATTGCTAATGCTTAGACTGCCATCGATCACAGCTAGCACGAACCTCAGCTGGTTGCTGATGTAGCACAACTCCTTCTCCAGCGAGGCCAGCTTATGTCGACGTCGCTTACAGTAAAACTCGAGACGTGTCTTACAAAAGTCGCGCAAAATGTCCAACTCCGAATCGTACCGTATAACGTGTCCGTCAGCGTCGAACAATGTCATGTTACTAGTGGCAATGCTCTTGCGCAGTCGCAATACTTTCTCCAACCCCTGACTCTCGGCATAGGCCATGTATTCCGGCGCCAACTTGAGCGTAAAGGCGATCGATTGATGTGTGCAGTTATCTCGGTAATCCTGCAACATGAAGGCTGGCGGTTTCCCGCCGGCCGTGGCGGCCGCGCCTCGGGCGCCGGCCTTTGCCTTAGCTTTGGCCTTAGCCTTAGCCTTGGCGGCGGCCGTGTTGGCTGCGGCCAGGTTGGACTCGATATTGGCTTGTATCATCTCCTCCAAAAACTCCTTGTACGGCTGCGTCCAGACCTTCACTGGGAGCTCGGAAATAAACAGGGTCGTGTCGTCGATCTTCTCCACTATCCCCACAGCCTCGAAGCCGGACTTGGCGTTGGCCTTTGATGTTTCCTCCATAGTCCCAATAAAGCCTCGGTACCACGGTTTCATGGAGACCATGGGTCTTCCCTCCAAGTAGTGGAAGATGTTCTCGATGATTTCCTTTGGGTTGTAGTTGGGGATCGACGAGGACCAGCCCGTACCAATGCCTTCGGACCCGTTCACGAGGACCAGCGGCAGGATGGGCACGTACCATTTGGGTTCGATGACCTTGCCCTCTTCGTTTTTGTAGTGCAGGACTGGTTCGTCTTCAGTGCGAAAGAGAGCGCGCGCCACGGGCGTTAGTTTGGTGTAAATATATCTGGTAGCTGACGCGTCTTTTCCCCCTTCCTTGCGACTGCCGAATTGTCCAATTGGTTGAAACAGATTTAAGTTATTGCTACCGACAAATGTCTGTGCTAGATTAACTGATGTCTGTGCCATTGATTCTTCGCCATGATGATAGCAAGATACGTCACTAACGTAGGCAGCAAACTGTGCGACTTTCATCTCTTTTTTGATCAGCCCTTTTTTAAACGCGCCGAAAATCGCCTTCCTCTGAGCCGGTTTAAGACCATCGACAATGCACGGAATCGAACGCTCTAAATCATAGCGCGAAAACAGTACCAACTCCTTATCAATGAAATCCTTATAACGTACATCCTTAGCTGTATGATCCAGAAAAGTTCCTTCCTCAAAAGATGAAATCCAATTCTTGCGATCTTCAGATCTTTTCGCATTAAACGCCATATCAATCGCTTCGAAATCCTCCTCATTACGATAAACAAATTGTAAAGAATGATCATTTAGATGTTTAAAGTATTCCATAAACTCTCTATCATCACTGGTACCTAATCCTTTATAATATTTAATTTTCCAATTTCGACCCATTCCTACATCGGATTTTTTCCATTGTTCATATTGTGTCATTGTGAAGAATGGTAGTACAGTCTTTCCATCTGTAGCCTTAACAATTGGTGTTACAAACTCTTTTAGAAATCCCTTATATTTTAATAGATCAGGCCAGAAGTGTTGTAACATATTTATTAACAACCCCTTAATATGACTACCGTCATAATCTTGATCTGTCATGATCATAATAGAACCATAACGTAAACTTCTTGGGTCTGTTATCTTCTTACCTACTTCAAGACCAGTAATACGCATAATATTTTGTAATTCTTTATTATCAGTAAGTGACTTAAATCCCGCATCTCGTACGTTAAGAACCTTACCACGTAATGGAAAAACACCATAACGATCCTTCCCGACCACGCTAAGACCTGCCACACAACTGGTTTTGGCAGAATCTCCTTCCGTCAAAATTAAAGTGCACATATGGCTGTGTTTCGTGCCAGCATCATTCGCATCTTCTAACTTCGGAATGCCAATAATACGATCCCTACCACCTTTACTCCCACCGACGCGCATCTTTCGCTTGAGCTCAATCTCCTGCTTGGTCTGAGCCCACATTAACACTGTTTCTGTAATGGCCGATTTCACCACAAGGGAAATCGTTTTATCACTTACACACAACGCTGGCTTTAGATACGACATTGACAGGGTCATATACTCTTTCGTTTGTGAGTCGAAGGTGGGGTTCACTACACGACAATTCAGAAACACAAAAAGGTGATTCCGCACGTGAGCTGACTTCAATTCCATGCCACCTTTGTTCTTACTACCAACCTTCTTCAGCACTGCCTGAACCACAGGATCCACAATATAATTAATGTGCGTTCCACCTTTGCTAGTGCAAATATTATTCACAAAAGACACCTGCTGAAATTGACCATCACTCATTGATATAACAACCTCCCATAAATCATTGATCTTCTCGTATATTTTAACCGGCGCTCCATTCTGTCCCAAGGAAACGTCTTCCTTCTTCACCTTTCCTTTCTTCTTCTTTCTTCCTTTTACTGAGTCGTCGTCGTCGTCATCCTCGCTTTCCACAGCCATGCCCCATTCGCTGTCATCATCTCGGTTGCTCGCTGTTCCCTCGGTGGCTTGTTCCCCCTTAAGCTTATCGTTAAGATCGCCGTTAAGATCGCCGTTAAGATCGCCGTTAAGATCGCCGTTAAGATCGCCGTTAAGATCGCCGGAAGGAGTTACTGTCTTGGGTTTAGCAAAGTACAAGTCGACGTAGTCTTTGAAGCTCTTGATGGGTATGGTAGTGCGATTGAGGACAACGCGGACCCCAATCGTACCGGCCATATCGTAAGCGCGTTTATGGAAGAGGGCGAGCACATCAGGGGTAAAACCATCCGGCATCTTGAAGCGTTTGAAGTCGGGATAAAAGGTGACCTTGCAGCTGTCGGTCTTGTTATCACAGGGAGTGATTGAGGCATCTGTATGGTGGCTCATGTTATCGGACCACTCCATATGGAATCTGCGTTTGCGTTGGGAGTCAACACATTCGACTACGAATTTTTTGGAGAATATGTTAGTCAGTTTAGCGCCATAACCATTCCGCCCACCAGTGACGCGTTGTTCCGAATCATCGTAGTTATCTGAGGTGAGCAGATGACCAAAGATTAGTTCCGGAACATAGATGCCATGCTCCTTATGGATCTCCACCGGGATGCCGGACCCATCATTAAGAACACTGACATAGTCCGCCGATATCACGATCTCTAACTTCGTCATACGTTGACCCTTCCGGCCCCGATTCTCGTGCACCTCGCGAGCTCGCACGTCTGCCGCATTCACCACGATCTCGTCAAAGATCTTGTATAGTGCCGGCACGTATTCTATCGACCGAAACACCATACGTACCCCATCCCATACCCAAGCTTGACCAGACTCCATCCCCGTCGAACCCACATATGAATCTGGACGAGCTAAGACGTGCTCCAGTTGAGACAACTTAGTGTAACGCTGCTCAATCGTCTTCTCCCGGGACAACTTACCTCCCTCACGACGAACATTCGCCGCCGACACACTGTTCTCTTCGCTCGAAGACTGACATGCACTCGACATCGCAGAAGAACTCCACTCCATTATCGTGCTTCCAGATACCTACCAGCGTTCTTCCAAACCACTACAATTCCAACCAAAGGTTATAGCTACTCCAGCAAGTGCTATAAATACACCAGCTTTATTCTACCTACAGATATTCCACAATCTTGTCCGGCTCGGTTATTCGACCTCCGATTATTCTATAGCACTCGAGCTTCGGGAAACGAGAAATGCACTCACCCCCTCGACCTCGTGTGTTTTAAACTGTTCTTGTTTCAAAAGAAAAAGTGCTTCGCTTCGGGCCACTCATCAAAACCTAATACCGACTCCGCCTGTAATATCTTTCTTCAATTCCTTATGACCTTCAACACCGCAAGGTTTTAGTACCTAGGGGCTCCCGGGACCATGTTCGGACGGTTATTGAGTTCTACCGGTTGATTCATCGGCTGATTAGGCCAGTTAGGAGTATATCCAGGTGATACGGAAATTCGCGGGGGGGCAACAAACGCCGGGACCAAATTCGGGTCGTACATGCACCTCACATTATGGGGATATGCCATCACGGGCTGAGTACCAAGCGGTACATAACGCTGGCTGCTCTCCCCGGTATATTGAATACTGGTTGTCTTTGTCGTAGCAGTATACGCTTCTTGCGGGGCCGTCGTGGTAATCGAAGTGGTGGTCGTACCCACCGGCGCCTGGCCCGCCATACTGCCTCCATGGGTCGTATATGTAGTCGATGCGCCCGGCTGAGAGTACGCTACCGAGGGATACGCCTGGCTAGTGTAGCTTCGCGTTGAGGTAGTCGTTTGGTACTGGGTCGGTTGCACCTCAGTGTATGTCTTCGTGGTCCTGCTCACCTGCTGCATGAATCTATAAATTTATTTAGTTCACGCACACTCTTGCTGGATACTGTCTCGAATTCAGCGACGCTCGATCTTGGCTGACGTCACGACCTCAAGACATATTCACCGGTGCGTAGATTGGTGGATTTGAATTGCGCGCACACGCGTGCGCAAAATATGCAAGTGAGATTTGTTGTTGTTTTGAGTGCGCTGGGATGCGCCAAACGCGTTAGCGTCACAGAGGGTTATGGCCCGCGCCACTGGGGCACCATGTACAGTGGCATTGATTCGAAAACGCCGTTGTATACGGATTCCGACGTCGCGCGACGGAACAAAGAGATTCCTCCAGACGATTGTGTCTGGATGTACGTCCCTTTGCTTGAGTATGCCTGTTTGCCACGAGGTAACCTGGGCCGTGATATCTCTGCATGATGCGTTTGTTTGTTTTGCAGAAATGGTGTACAGAGCGAAAAGAAAGGGTGAGAAAGATCAGTTGGGTTTCATGAGAGAGACTTGGGTCCCGGGGCCTGCGATAGTGAACATGCCGGACCTGCACGACCACAACACGTGCAAGTACGTATACCGCGACAAAAATCGGGGGGCGTTCAACTATTGTTTTGAAACAGCTGCTGAGCGCGACGCGTACATTCAGTTGTCAAACAGCGCTCCGTTCTGGAATGACCGGAAGGAGTTGCTTTCAGAGGTGCAGTACGCCGACCCGTTTAGGAAGGCGGTGGAGCTGACGTCGAAGGCGCATCAGGAGCAGCCGAATTTGCTTCCAATGCTCCCGTTTGACCAAAGAAAGGGTGCTCGCGCGGAGCGAATGGGGCGGTTGGACTTTTTTCTGCGCAGCAGCCAAACGTATATGCCTCCCGCGCCAGAATGACGAGCACCGACACGAGATCGAGCAAACTGGTAGACAAGTTGCTTCGCCGGCCGCACGAGGCGTCGCCATGCACGCCGCTTTCGCATCGCGGGCTCAAGTACACAGACGATGGGTTGCAGCACTTGCGGAAATCGCCGCGATTGTTTTGTTCGTACTTGACGCTGAATGCGCGCGGCTGGAAGCGGTTGAAGACGCACCATTACAATGCGTCGAAGCCCAAGGAGACGGGCGGCAAGTTGGCGCGCATGTTGAGTCGGCGTAGTGCAGACGAGTTTACAGGGTTTGATGACCTGGACGAAGAAAGCGTGGCTGAGTCGCGTGGGTTCGAAGTGGTTTGGTTGGCTGACCAGGACGACATCAGTACGGCGGTGAAGGAGTGGGTTTCGGAGCGAGACGGAAGCGGGCAGGGTGGGTGCGTGCAGGGGACACAGACGGGTGCGAAGCCTGCGGCGCCGTTGGCTGTGTGGACGGTGGCGGTGACGAGTGACCATCAGTACCTGGCCTGTGGGTCGAACGGAGGGTTAATCTTTGTTTGGCAGTTGAATGAGGGGCCGCAGTTGGAGGAGGAGTTAGAGCAGGATGTGGCGGCCGAAAAATCACCGGTGGAGAAACGAAGTATGTTGCGGCGTGTTGCTACACTATCGGGACACACGGGGGGTGTGTTGCGGCTGCAGTGGAACACCAGTGTGACGCACCGTGTGCTGCTGAGCAGTGGCTTCGACTCAACCGTGCGGCTCTGGTCCGTCTTCCCTGCGCCTGCGACACTCTGTATCCTGAAGTGCCCAGCACTACCCGTAGGTGTCTGCTTTGCCGGCGGCGGCGATGCCGCCGCCGTCGTCACCTGTCTCGACGGCGCCACGCGACTCATCTCCTTCACTCCGCCGCCCGCCCAGGCCGTGCCTGGTCCGGCCGCCGATGCACCGCCGTTAGTCAACTGCAAGGTCGACCGTGCCTTCGCCGGCAAGGACGCAGCCACCCACATGTCCGTCTCGCCCTGCGGCTCCGTCCTCGCCGTCGGTTCCCAGTTCGGCGTAGTTACTCTCAGCGACTTGGGCACTGGCCAGGTCATCCGCGAAGTACACTGCCGCAATCACTTCGGCCGCCACAAAACCGGCGAAAAGATCACCGGGATCTCCTGGAACTCGAACAGCCGCTATATCGCCGTCACCTCCCGCGACGGCCGCATCCGCATCATTGACATCCAAGACCCCAGTCGCCGCGTGAAACTCAAAGCCCAAAGCGACCCCCGACTGGTCGCCATTTTCGAGTAAGCCCGACTACCGGTGAGGACTACTTATCACGTCCTCTCCTCGGACCAACTTACCCAACGAGTTTACCGAACCACTTACACCACCATTTATCCCACCAACCTACCTGCCCAACTTAACCGACAACTTGCTTGCAGTCCTTCGGACCGATTTGTCTTGGCCGCCGCCGAGAACGGCCACATCTACGTTTGGGACCTGATGAAGGCGTGCCGCGAAAAGGTGCATCGGCGCAGACGCTTTTACTTGGCCCGGAGCTTTTCCAAATCGGCATTATCAGAGGGCGACGCTGTTCCCGAGAATGGACTGGAAATAGCTCCGCTGAACGAAGAATTTAAGCGCGAAACGGCGCACCCTGTCGCCTCCTTCGCTGCACACAAGGGCGTGCCCACCGCGATGTGCATGATGCCCTTTGAAAACTCTACAATCCCGTAAGACGGTCACCTCTGAAGGTCACTCACTCACTGGTGGGTTAAATTAGGCCACTCCTGTTTGTAGAGCCGCTCGAGTCATACTGGGCACCGAGTGCGGATCTGTCGAAGTGTATGTCATCCTACTATCGAAATGATGTATTGATGTGCGATGTATTACACGAATGATGTTAGGGGTTTATGCTAGATATTCGGGACACGGGGAAAATCAGTTTGGGGGGGGCTATGCCAGCTGACAAACCGTACTGAAACTGGCCAAGACACCTGCGACAAAGTAAATGAACATTGACAGGCGGAAAATCGAATGGGGGATGGAGTACTTACCGGATGCCCGGTTGATGTCGAAGCATGGGTTGCCGTCCATGTATAGGTATCTGAGGTTGGGCGCTTTGCTCAAAATCGAGGCGAAAACCCGCTCCAAGGATTCGTCTATATTGCAACTATATAAACCCAAGATGCTCAAGCTGGGCAAGTCCGGCAGGCAGTCCACAACCGCCGCAATTTGATTGCAAGACAAAAATAACCTAAGATCACGCAGAAGCATGCAACAGGGAAGGAACCACCCAATAATACGCGAGGATGTGTGATGACATTAAGATGTGTGATGATGCCGTAGCCTTTCGAAGTGAGAGGTTGCCTTTATGGGAGTGCGGTGCTAACTTTTGAAGCTTGGTAGCATTATAGAGGAGTTCTTTTAACGGTTTGATATTAGCAATACGGTTGTGTCTGAGATCCAGAAGTTCCAGTGCCGGAGCGTTTTTGGTTAAGGTCATTTGGTTGCAGTCGAGTTGCGTGATGTGTCCATGGTTCACGAGAAGGGTGCGGAGTCGGGGGTAGACTTCTCGGACTTTTGGCAATGTCTTGAGCACGCTGGAGGTTAAGCAAATTTCGGTTACATTCCGGCGCAGCTGGCCGAGGGAGTCGAAACACCGAGACTGCAAGATTGCTTGTACGTACTTGCTGACTCGCTCGTCCGCCTGATTCCAGCTTCCCTCCAGACCGGTCCGGACGCGCAGGTACAGATGCCGAATGAGCTCGTCCACGTCTATCGTCTCCAGAAAACTCCTGCTCGCATCCACGACCACCGTCCAAGACGTCTCAACCTCCAAGCCTTCCTCTGCTGGGACTTCCCCCACAAATTCCTTCAAGCCCCCGCACAGTAGTATCTTTTCGTAGCTCGCCAAATACAACTCCGAGCTTAGCACGCCCAGTGCCTCGTAAGAATGCGCGTGGGTCTGCTTGCCCACGAACCACAACTGCCGCTCCAGCGGATACCAACCGGTTATCCAAGGCATTTAAATTTCGGGCCACGTCCAGTGTTCAATCAGGGCCATGTTTTCGGACGGTTAGTGCGAGTCAACGCAGAGGATCCTGGCTGGACAGACTCCTTGGTCCACAGTGGAGAAGTCGACGGCAGACAAGAAGTGTTTGAGGGTTATGGGTTGCCGCACGGCCCCAGGTTCCACGAGTTGCCCGAGAGCGCTGAGGAGGTAGAGTGAGGGCAGGAAGTAGGTGATTTCGACGTTGGCGACTCCCTCGCCGGGGTTGTCACACATGAGGGTGAGTACGCCGTTCCCCATCTCCACGCCGTGGGTCAGTTCACGGAGCGAGAGGTAGATGCGCGGCTCATAGGACTCGAGCAGCTTCATGATGGACGGGCGCAACATGGCCAGGGCCTGAGGGTCGATGTACTCGTGGAGCACGTGCAGACGGTCGTCCGGGTTCTGGTGAAGCCGCGCCACGGAGGCTAGCTCCGCGACCATGCCCAGAATGCCTTTCATCTCCCGCCGCTGCAGCACGCGATGACTCGGCACCGTTGGCGTTCCGCCAGGCGCCAGGTTGTGCCCGAGCTTGTGCCCTGACACGATGTACTCGTACGGCTCCGAGATGTAGCGCACTACACTCTGACTGTTCGGCGCCACCTGCAGCGGCAGCCCCGCCGCCGGGGATGTCAACAGCGGCGTGTACTTGATCAGAAACGCGCCGTGGATCGGCACCCCGTTCAGCGTGTGTCCGTGAGTGGGCGTGCCCTTCCCGTCGTACACACCCACCTTCGTTATCGGCGAACACTGGATCTCCCCCAATGAACCGATGTTCAACGCGCTCTGCAACTGGTCCAGCGCAATCCGGTACCGGTTCGCCGGCGCGAACTTCTTCAATACCGAAGGCAAGTCGTACTCCAATGGCTCGTCCACCACGTCCCAACTCTCCTCCCCCGAACCCATATCGTCCACAAACGATGCCCGGCTCTCCGCCAACACCGGCGGCGACATCGGCTCGTCTTGCTTCGTGCACACCCCGAACGGCTCCTTCGTCACCGTCGTCCGGAACACGGACCACAGATACCGCTTCAAATACTTCTCGAACGCGGCGGCGTTCTCCTCGTTAGCCAAATTCGGCAAGCCCGACAAACGTGACTTCCGACCCGCCCCGAGCAAGTTCGCCGCCTTGGCTTCCCCGTCGAAGTTGCAAACGCCGCGCTCGTTCAGCCCGTTGACGCAGTCCGCGTCGGTGAAACACGGAGGAAAAGCAGAACGGTCAAAAGCCGAGGCAGTCGCCGACATCAACTGCAACCCCCACGGAGAGTTCTCTCCACGTCGCCTGCGACCCATGCCCTCGACCGCAGCCGGACCTCCCGCCGACACACCAGCAACCGCCGGCGCCGGCGCGGGCGCCGGCTTTTCCAGGTGCAACCCCTCCAGCGGCTGCCTGTTCTGTGCTTCTCCCTCCCCTGCGCACCCCCACGTGAGCAGCAATCCAACCGAAAACCTCATTGAAAAACTTAGCACTTACCTTCTTGTTCTCTTTCCCAGAAAAAACAATGTCCTTAGGAGTCCACGGTCAAGTCCTTCAACAAGGCGTGAACAAATGCGTCGTCGATGCAGAAAGAAGCCTCGTTCGAGATGGCTACATCGTGAGAAGATGCGTGTTCGGGAGCGAGGAAAAGCGACGCTGCCAAGGATGCCACCAGAAGAACTTCGTCGGTAAAGTCATTCGATGGTTCTGACGGCGCTGTACTGCACATCACACTCCCATTCTCCAGACCCGCCAGCGATGGATGCATAGGCGTAGTGGTCGCGGTGGAAATAGATGGTGGAGTTGAGAGAGGGAACGCTGGCGTCGAAAGCGACGGAGTAAAGTGACAGTCCGCTGATACCTGTGCATCGGTCGCAGTTGTACATCTCGAGGACAGCGATACTGAATTGGACAAGCTGGATCTGGTACTGTTGCTGCCTCTATTTAACTTATCGCGCTTATCTTGATTCGTGAGACGATAACTGCCAGAAAACATGCATTATCCAGTCATCTACTTACTTTCTTGGCCTCAGCTCCTCCTCGCCGTGAGCGTGGCGGCAACCAGCGCCAGCCGGGCACTTGCCGTCTTTCGCCCAATGCTTGCAAAGTTTTGTCTGAAGAATCCCGCCTGAGGTCTTGGTCAGTCATACCTTGTAATAATCATCTGTAAATCTGAGTTCATGATGGCCATGAGCATATTTGCAGTTTATGTCATCACAGAGTCCCTACGAAAATCAATATGCCCATGCCCAGTACCTACTTTTTTCCAGGAAGTGCAGATCTGAGTCTTGTGGAGAGAAACCCCAATTCTCAGTTCGCTGCGACTATGGGCGTAAGTACAGTCCTTCCCTTTTGTGCAGCGCGAATTCAAGAAAAAAGGACAGAGTTTTATCCTATCAAAAGTGGGCATGAAGAGATGAAGATCTCACTTATAGAATTGATCCTTAACTTGAGTGCCTGCCATGACAAATCTGGCAGTCTTATATATTGATGCGCTACTTCGAACGTGTGTGCAAACACGTGCGCGCGGCTATTGATTTGTTGTTTTGATGCTATAAGCACATTTCTAGCTCTGGCCGCCGGTAGTCATTGTTTTCGTCTGGTTCAAGCTCAGGATAGAAGCTTACGAGAGCATCGTTGTGGCCGATGTATACTGAGTTGTAGATTCTCCAGTAAATCTCTCTTGTCTACAAGCGAAGAGTTGGTTGATCAGGGGTTGGACAGAGTCCAGAAAGGGCAGAGGGTTGCTTACCTTTCTGGCGGGATGAAAAAGGCCTTGTAATAAATAGTTGAGCATGATTCCTGGTCCTAGAGCGACTCTAAATCCGCTGATGGCGTCAAAAGTTGCTTGAGTCAAATGTGCTGGTGTCTCAAAAATGTTGGGCCACACATAATTGAGGCAGTGTATGAGAGCATCCTCCCTTGACAGCCCATGCACACCTAATGCCAGATGTTTACATACCCACGCTGCGGTTTGCCGATGGACAATGTCTCGATCCATCAAAGCATCTTGCAGAAGTGGGACTACGGCATATATATAGTCCCTGCCCATCTCTCCTATATACTCGAATAAGAACGAAAGTGCTTTAAGAACACCATGCTGTACATTTACATCTGGAATTCTGAGAGACAAACATAATTTACACGACATAGCTGAATTAAGGGCATAGTGTGGGCGATACTTACTTGTATTCATTCATAAGGGCGGGTAGAACGGTGTAGGGTAAGCAGGTTTCCGCTACGATAGCAATTGCAATTGTGGTACAAATACGTAACTGTCGTTCTTGTACTCGCAGGTTGTTCATGAGCGTGACCATGACGTCGTGTGGTCCAATGGTCCGTGCGATGTAGCCAAACGTATTAATGGTCGTCCGTCGAATTGATTTCTTGTGGGCCTTGAGAAGTTCCAGCAAGTCAAAGCATATTCGGTCCCATTCCTTAGGGGAGACCATGTCCCCTCCGCGGTCGGCGATTCTCCCGATCAAATCGATTACATTTTCCTGTACCTTTTCATGCCGGTTTCGCAAAATCGGGGTGAGTCGTGGCAGCAAGTCTTTAATCGGCGGCGTCATAATGCGAATGCCAATGACGTTTATAATGGATTTGAGTGCGCATAGAATCGAACCCAGTACCTCTGGATATTCTTCTCCCAGATATTCGTACAGGAACAATCCGAAGTGACTCAGCATTTGTTCTTCTCCGCATTTCTTCATGACGGCCGCGATTCGGCTAATCAGGTCAGCAGCTTGCTGCCGAACCCTAGCGGAAGGCGTATTTAACCGCCAGCGAATTACGCCAGTAATGTGCTTCAAGTAAGGCTTCAGTCGCATGCCAAGAGTGTTAGCGATGGAGCCGAACGCATTCAGGACAACTTCCGAATCAGCTTCGGATGACTGTTCCTGGAAACAGAAGAGGAGCCCGTCAATAAAGAGTTCCTCTAGCTCCTGGTCTATCTCATCCACACCGAGGTTGAGAACTACTTGGTCTGCGATTTCCAGTGCCATATGGCGAAAGACTTCGGACGAATTCTTCAAAGGGTCGACCAGTCGTTTAAGAATTTCCGCACTTCCGCACTTGTTCGCAAGTTCCACAGTTGTTTCTACCACCTGGCGCCGGTTGGCTCTGTCTAATGCGTTACGGACCACTAGGAAGTTTTGGAAGAAGTCGGGTAGGACCTCTGCCCGAATGTAGTCTGCTTCTACACCTTGTGTGGCGGCGCAGAGTTTAATCACCTTAAGTATGACTTTCTTCATTTCATCATCCGGGGTATTAAACTCGCGACAAACGATACGCATAGTTTCTCGTGTATACACATCTGCATGTTCGGGGTCCATGAGTGGGATGATAAGTCCCATAGCTTTGAGGAAAGCTGCCAGGCCCTTGCCCCGGTACTCGCAAATACCCTGCCACAGCGGCCGCAGGACGCAGTCAAAGGTTTCGATCCCGTAAGGATGTGCCGCTTCGGCGAGCGCAGACAGCGCCAGTGCAGTGATCGTCCGAACTTTGGCGTGTTCATCTTGTAGTCCGGTCGCAATGATCTCCACCAGCTGTCGCAGGTGAGGCAGCACGGCACAGCCCATAAGGATCGCCGTCTGTTGCACGATCTTGATGCCAGTATGTCTTGCCTGCCAGCTCTTTTTGCTTTGACAGACAGCCTTGAGGAAAAGGATCAGCGAAGAGATACCCAGCGCGGAGGCCACCACGGCAAAAGCGCGCGCAGTTGTGTTGCGCACGTATTCATCCGGATGGTCAATGTCTGGCCGCATGGTAGCGATCATCGTGCCGAGTCCGGCGGCCTTACTCAAATTGCTAATGATTTCACGACCTTCTACGCGCGCATAGTAGTCCTCATCAATCAACAGCGGCTCGATTACGACTAGAATTTTATGCACATACGGCTGCACTTGGTCGTCCAACTTATAGAGCACGCGGTCAATCACCTTGACCAACAGGTGCCGCTCCTGATCGTCCGCGGCGCTCTGCATCATCAGTGGCAGGATCTGGTTGAAGAGCGGTTCCGGACCAAATTCGCGCGCGCGCGCGGTGATTTGTTTCAAAGCCGCCCGCCGCAGCGGAGGCGTCCCGTTTTTGATCTTGAGCAACAGCAGACTGATGCGCCGTTCCCGCAACTCCTCGACAGAGAGGGCGGACTCATCCACATCTTCAAACAGCTTCCGGAAAAACTCATAGTCTTCCGCCTTCATGCTCAAGTCCTCCATCGCCACCTCCGGAGCCGCCGGCAAAGTCGTAAACGACTCAAACTCTGCTGGCGTCTGACGCACCCCTTCGTCCAACCCCAGTCCAGCCGCCAATGCCGCCGGCACGTGCTTAGTCTGCACATACCCCGCTGGCGGTTGAACCACCTCGTAACCTTCCGTAGGCAATAGCGCGTCCAACTCCTCGTCCGTCAACGGACGGTTCCGCGGATCCTGTAATACCGCACGCTGCACTGCCGTCAGTCCCCCCGCCGCACTCGGCACCTCCGGCGTACCCGGCGTCCCTAAGCTGGTCATCCCCGGCACCGCCACCGGCGTGGAAGACGCATCATCCCATCGGGCCTCCTCCCAACGTGTCTTCTTCGCTAAAACAAACACCCCGTCAGACACAACTGGGATAGACGCAATCGGGATACACCATCAAGAGGGAGGGAAGGCTGACTCACCTGGAACATCGTTGGAAGCGGGCAAAGGCGTGTCCAATATCGTGCCCGGCAGAGGAGTCTGGGCGTCATCCTCTCGCTGGCGCTTTTTAGTGTCCACGGGTCCACCAACAATTGGGGTGTCCCACTGACTGAACATGCTCCGCGATTTATCAAATGCAAAACCCTATTCTCCCCCATGGCCACAAACTTTCGGGCCTGCTTATTCCCAACAACCCCCCCCCCCCCCCCCCCCCCC